GATTAACAGTCAGCTAGTAGCATACATCGCAGACTCTCAGAGCAAGACATTTTACAGAAAGTGCTTAAAGGTTTCAAAGATTAAAGGAAAAAAAAAAGTCAGAAAGAGGTCTATTCCTGTAGTGAATCACTCATAAAGCAAGCTTATGAGCTTTAATTAGCTTTCTCTAAAAAATCAGAGTTTTTAAGCACAAGAATTGACTATCTTGAGAACTTGACCATAAAAACAGATGTGAAACGAATGGCCAGAATATCTTGATCTTTTCCTCTCTCACTATGACTTTATATTATTTAATACATAGGAGACTCTTCTGAAGGAAGAAATCTTCATTAGAAATGAAGATTGCTGCATTACTGGAATTCAACTGAGTTTCCTTGGTATTTTGAAACTCTTTCTGTAAGAGCCTTTCAATAAAACCTGGAATAAAAATCCCTACCCTTTGATCTTAGCTACCCTTCCCTTTACTCTTCTTATATTCTTTTTCCACATCAACTACTAGTTTGACTTCCTTCTTCAGGATCAGCTAACAGAATGTAGTTAATTTCCAACAAACCCATGAGCAGTTAAATCCCTGCTTTCACAGCTTTTTCTATTCTACGGAAATTATTTAGCTGCTTTGGCCTTTGGGGACAGTGCTTATAACCAGAAGTTATTTATGTGACTTGAAGCCTTTTAATTTTTATGTGAAAACACTTAATAACAACTCATTTGTATTTGAACAATGTCATGGTTTTCTCTAAAAGGATTGCCAGCAAAAGTTCACAGTGTCATTAAAGAAGTTTCTGCAATGATTAGTGCCATCACGTTTTAGGACATGTAGAATTCTGTAGTTTCCTTAAGTACAGATGTTTTACTGCATCAATACCATTTTAAATGCATAGTGCCTAAACATTAACTTGTAGTTTGTTGACGAATTCAAAATTTCCAAATCCGGATCATGCATGAATACCACATACAACCTTAGATACTTTTGAGTTCAGCAAAAGATATGTAATTATTAACTTCATAAGCTTACACTGACGAGGAACTTATATTTTCCTCAAATCTTAGTATTTTCTGCATGAGTAGCATCCCATTTTTGCAGATGGATTTTATCCCCCCCCAAAAAAAAAATCTTTCATGTGTTAACATAGGTTCAAAAGCAATACATCACATTTGTTACCAGCAGACCTAGTACATGCTCATCCTCTAAGATGCTCTAGACTTACATTTCATATGAAAGAAACACAACTTTACCGCCAATCAACTTCTCTACCCTCTCTCCTAGATGATTTTGGAAAGAAGTTTGAGACTCTAACAGGAAGCTATGTATATGTATACTAAATGGGAGATTTAAAAAAAAAATTATTGCTCTCAACTTATAAAATGAAAAATAAGAATCAAATCACAAGAAATGAACGGCACTGCTCTTTCCTTCTGACAAGATGAAGTCTGTGCAGTTATGTTACATGTGAAATACGGATTTTTATGTTAGGAATCATGACCACTGTGTAGCACATGGCTATTTTTTTTTTTTTTTTTCATCTTGGTGCAAAACACTATATCCTTCCCAACATCTTGAACAAATTATAAATAATAAAATATCAATACGCCAAAGGTGTGAGGGGATTTGTATAAATCTTCCTTTTTATTTGTTCACTAAGTTCTTAGGTCAGCTCTTGCTAACATTTGCCAAGAATATTTCTGAGATGACTTTAGGGAAAAGGAATTGGATTCGTGAATAATTTATTTTATCTTTAAAGGAAAAAAGAAATTACTACATCCTTCCTATTTCTGATTGGGATGCTGCTGTTGTACTACTTAACATTTTCCCATGCTAATGTATTTTTTCTGATTTTTTTTTTCCTTAATAGTCTGTTATATACATTCTGCACAAGAGAAATGGATTTCCATAACATATCATCAGCTAATAGTTCAACACATCTTAAATGTGAATTCAAAGAAGCAACGGAAGAAGATCTATTTCACTGCATGTATTTCAAGCTCAACAAAGAATTTTTTAAAGCACCAGTGCATCAATTACTTTTCTCCACCCCACTTACCAAGATATATGGAAATGATTGTGTCAACAGCAGTAGTATTTTAGGTAAGGACACAGTAAGATTAAAATGTTACTGTAAAAATATTATTTTAAGAGTTTATTTTTCCCTGAGCAGAGCTGTGCTACTGTTCATGTTTACTTGTTATCTCAGTGTTTTAGAATTAAATAAATGAACGTTAAATTAATAATTTTTAGAACGTTAGTTTCTTCCAGTATGCAAAGCCAATTCTCAATTAAATTCCAACTCTATTTCAAACTCAAATGTCTAATATCAAGTTCTCAGTACTTTAGTACCTAGTAACAGTATGTCTTATTCTGTACAATGACTTATGTTCAGAAATTTTTGCACAACAATGGCCACCTACTGAACAGTAAGTCTTATACTAACAAGCAGTACTGATGGGAAAAAAAGCTGTTGAAGAAAACTGTCTTGATGTTAGGTCACCAACTTAAGCTGCTAAAGAGAGACAGAAGTAGATTCTTAGTGAACATTAAAAATCTTCAGTAATTTGGAAAAGAAATCCTGGCAACGTTCACTAAAATTCTCAACGAATTTATACAACTAGTTGAAGGCAAATGGAAAGAGCACACAGTTGGACAAAGAGCACAGAAGAAATCCTGAGGAGTATCTTGTTAGAAATTATCAGAACCTTTCCTGTAAAGGCTACAAAATTTGGAGGACAGTTTTTTCTACCATGTTTTCTCCTGCATCTAATAAGAGGTGGAAAGGAGTTAAAGCAATGTTTCCTATTCCCTTTTGCAAGGAACAACTAGTAAACAAAAATAAAAATTCCACAAAAGATATCTATGGACATCTTCAAAGACACCATTCACAGCTGATAAAAGTCCATCTTAACAGATAAACATGGTGTTAGTTTACTTAGGCGAACCTACAGTTCAACAACATTTAGAACAAAAGAATAATAGGAAAACCTACACATAAGACTTGCAAGAACCCCTCAAACTATGTCTAATAATTTTAGCGTAGTGAAATGTTGATGCCTCAAAAGTTTGTATGCATAAAAAATAATTTTAATGTTAATTTCAGTAAGAACAGATCTGGCCTCTTAAAACACAGGACTTCAAGAAAGGTGGAACAGAAGTAGATTAATCAAGAACTCAAATGAAGCTTACTAGCATCAGGAATTACACAACAATGATAGCCCACATACGACAAGACAATCTCTACAATCAATATTTAGTTACAAAGCATCTTATACAGTTTACTGGATCTGTATTTGGGTAGATCTCTCTACCTATTCTGTCAGAAAAAAAAAGGTCCCACTAAAAGGAAGAAAAAAAAGTATAACAAGTATGTCTATGATATAAAATAAATACCAACTAAGACCATTGCTTCATGTTTGTCTTGCACATAATACAATACCAATCTCCAAGCGAAAACCCCATTACACTTGAGTTTTGAATTCTTATTTTACAAGTGGTTTAGAGACGTCTCTATTTCTTTCCTTCTACAGTCACAGACTTCTACGTCTACAAATCTTATCTTACCATGTCATAAACGCCACTTTTTAGGCGTTTCAGTTTTTTGTTATAATAAAAAAATCATCAATTTCAGGCAGATAATCACAGTCTAAATAATAAATTAAAATATAGACATATATACACACATACACAGACAACTTGATTTGAAGTAATGGGGCATTTTTTATAATGAGAACTTCTAGTGCTTAAGATTCCAGTGTTCTAGCACTGAAAATAAAATGTTGCAGTATTTGAATTCTCAGATGAGTTATGACAGGAAACAACCCCCACCTCCAAACCCTTCACAAATCTGCTTTGCCATGACAGAATAAACAGATTAGAAAACTAGTTTTAAAAACTATATTATTCTTTTTGTTTAAAAATACAGACAAAACAAGAAAGGAAATCACTACCTTTTATTTTAACGCCTTTCATAAAGCTTTGCAGAATATATTTCCGTTATGATATGACAGTAGCATCATGGTTCCTAATGAACACAATGTCACAAAATGCAGCTACTTGTCACTGCAATGATTGCTGAAAAAGGTTGCCAGCAATCCAAGATCATATCCAGTTTCCTTCTGTATGGGAAATGAGAATGGAACAGAGTGGAAGAGTGCTATAACCCAATGAGGTCCACTACCCTCACACCAAGAAGAAGGAGAAACGGGCAAGCCCACAACAACTTTCAACCTTGCTGAATCCCTGACAAGCATGGGAAGAATAGGAAGTTTAAGTATGTAAGTCCACAAACTTTCTTTTCGTTCCATGAAAACACAAAATCAAACCAACACCAAAAAACCACCACCAAACCCCAAACTACAAACAACCCAACATCACTTCCCTCCCCAAAAAAACCCAGCCCACTATCGACACAATCTGATCTTTACACCACAGACTGGGCATCAACTATCTGGTATGATTAACAGCAACACAAACATATGCCAAGAATCACATACATACTTAATGAGAGGCAATAAATGATTTTGGCAGAAAAATGCTCAACCCTAGAGTGAGCTGTGTAGAGGAAGAAAACTAAAAGAATCAGGGAACTAATTTCACAGTGCTTCAGGGGTCAATGTTCTTCCATGACTACCAGCTTTTGAGAAGCTGAAGTATTATTTATCTGCTTTTCCCTTGTTACCTACGGAAGTCTTTCAACGTTACGGATTATTAGCTGCAATTAAAAAGCCCCAAGTGTGTTGAGTGCTGTCTATCCAGAGCACTAACTATGTTACAACAAGAGGGGAGTTGACTGTTGGCAGAGTGTGTCTAGATGTTGCAAAAAGTAAACTTATATCCTATATTCAATTAAGAATAGTATATAATTCATAGAAAGTGTGTCTGAGGCTTGGTTTTACATTTGGCTTCAATATTTGCAGAAATGTGCATTCGTTGTGTTTATGGGTGATATATAGCTTTTGCAGGAGACATTTAACAGTGTTTCCAACAGAGAACAAATGAATTCTGTACTTACAGCATGGGGTGTTTGGTCTGTTCACAAGTTGTGGGAATGCAAAGATAGTTGACAACTCTAATTCATGGTTTTGATGATGTTCCTTTTCTTCAGTCTGGTCAGCCCAAGCTACCGATTTTTGTCTCAGAATCAGCTGTTCAACCTCCCCAAATTCAGTCTCAGTTACATTATTTGTTAACCCAGCTTCTTTCAAAGTCAGGTACTGCTTGCGAAGAACTGGAAGCAAAGTATTTAATACTCTGCAAAACAACAGAAGGCAAGACAAACATGACTGAATCGTAACTAATCTGATCCTTATTAGCACTGCCACTATTAGGAATACAAGGGGTTTGTTGTCCTCCTCTCCATCCCCCAAGTTCTGCTGTGTAATTTATTTTAATTGATTTTAGGGGAATACCATGACATAGAGGAAACATTCATGACTAAGTAAAGTGATTTTTCTCTTTTGTAATATCTTGTATTTGACTCTAAGCATTTACTAAGTGTAGTTTTTCCTCATTGTCCAAGATCTTCAGTCTTCACACAGCATAGAAATACAGTCCGTATATCTTGATTGAGTTCTGACTTTCTAAAATTAAGTATCAGATAAATGAAGAAAAGTATAAACCAAATAATGTGGTTTAAACCAAGCACGTCTTAATTAGATGTGCATAGAACCTTATTAGAAGCCTAGTCCAAATAAATTTAGATACTAGGATCTTTAATTAAAGAATGGAATACATTAAGATCCGCACACAACTGCAAAACAAACTGAAGTGACGAAAGTTCAGCAATTCTACCTGAACACAGAAGTTCATTAACTGTGGAGTTAGTTGCAAGACTAAACAGTAGGTTCAAGCAATAGGGAAAGGAAGATGTATATAAACCCCAAAGAAGCAATTTTGTAATTACCAACAGTATAGCTTTAAAAACTTTATTTTCAGTTTCACTAGTTTTTGTAATGTTTACGATAACAGCCTTTTCTCCAAAGGATGAAAAGCTGGTTATTTAATTTTGGAATTTAAATTTAATTATAAATTTCATATACTTATTTACTGAACAAATTTGCAATTACTTCCCATTCCTCTGAAAGCTAGTCTTCAACATTTTCAAGAGACCGATAACAGAAAAAGAGCTGATGCTTACCTGCCAATTCAGGTTTTCTGCAGTCTGACTAGCTAAATGTTTACAGTGCAAGAAATTAAATGAGAACATATTTATAAAAAAATCAATACTGCTGCTCAACACAGAAGACAGACACCTGGGTCTACTGAACAATTTGTAAAAACTATGCAAAGAAAAAATTAAATCGAAAGAAGCACTAGAGCATATGTGCAGTTTCTATTAAAAAATGGTGGATACAGACCAAGATTTATGAAGTGATTATTGTTTTACATGTCTTTTTGCTTAAGAAAACACAATTCTAACCTAGAAAAAAAAAATTTGGAGAAAAATCTTGCTTCTGTTTCAACTAACACTAAATTCTATAGATATGTCTTCTCAAGCTACAAATGTCTTACCATGCCTGCTAGGAAACCATACTTACTTTTCTGTCTGCTTATAATGCTGATCTTGAAGGGACACTAGAGATAACATGTACTCAATCTGGTTTTTCAGGTCCTTAACTTCTAGGTTTAAATGGCAGCACTGCAGATCCTTACAGAGTTCCTGGGGAAATTAGCAAGAAAAAATTCAAACAACTGCACATCAACCTAATAATGAGAAACTAAAATCTAGATTAAAAGTAATATTAGTTCATCCTATATTGAAAAGTCAAGATGGAACGGATCTATGTTGTTATAGTAAAGTTTTATGGTAGAAAAGTATGAATTGTTTGATTTTTATTTACATGCATAAATATTGCTTTGTAAATTCCTTTGACCAATAGTGGGTGTGCTGTAATTATCATTAAGAATCCAAACAGGCACACATGTACGCTTATCTATGCATGCCCAAAAATATGTTTGCCTCTTCCTGTGTATTTGCTCCATATCTGAATTTCAGTAACACTGTCTGGGACAAGTCTTCACTGTATTCAGTCATCTTTCTGAGATGCCAGTATCCTGTCTGAAATATCTTAAAGTTAATTTCTTTTAAGGTATCAACATATTTTAGTCATCCCAGTAAAAATGCAGGTATAGAAACATATTCCATTATATGAATCACATATGTGCTCATCACACTATCATTTAAGCCACTCCAATTACTGGCTGAAACTAAAGGGCAGGGAGGAACAACCCTCAACCTTTCTTTTTCTCTTCAACTTGTTCCTGCACAGACCTTCATCTCTTCCCTTCTGCCAGGTCTGGTGATTGTCTGAGGCTTCACTGAGCTGACTCTACTTGCTAAAACTTGGCAGAGAACTTAACACAACTTCCCACGCCTTTTCTCCCTTCCCATTCCTCCCTTAAAACCCTTCAAAAAAGTTTTTTTGGCCAGGCTAAGAATTAAGTTGTCACATGGTTCGATCAGCATCGGGAGCTACGGTAAAGGCAAGACTAGAAGTGTATGGCCGGGAGTAGGATCAACACTCTGGCAGCCATCCAAACTGCTCAGCCATAGCATACTAGTTCCTTTTTAGTCTGCATTTTTGTATGTAATTATATACTTCATGAACAAGGAATACTTGCACAAATAATGAAGTACTTTTAGGGCAGAAGAACAGAAACAGCTAACGCTAGAATTTGAAACCACCCTGAAAGAATGGCAGAAGCCATGAGTAGAAGCAAGATGAAGAGAAAAAAACCACATAAATCTGTTCTTAATTATAGTCTGATAGTTAAGAACACAAAGCATGAAATCTGCCCTCAAAGTGAAAGGCATTTTACCTTTGGTATACACCCATCTTGACCGAGGAGGCGCATTTCATTTTCAACACGATGCAGCCAATTGTTATTTTCCTCAAAATGTTCAACCTCCTCTTCTTTCTTCTTCTGCATGTGTATGCGGTGTGTTCTAAGCATTGCAAGCCTTTGATCCCGCTTGCAAGTGGCCTAAAAGAAAAAAATTGGTATTTAAGCAGAAAACTTTCAAGCAACATTCACAAACATCTCTATATTAAAAAAAGGGCTTTTCTATGCTTTTATGCTTGTCATGGTTTAACCCCAGCCAGCAACTAAACACCATGCAGTCGCTCGCTCACTCCTCTCCCCTCCCAGTGAGATGGTGAGAATTGGAAAAAAAAACAAAACAACCCACCAACAAAAAAACAAGTAAAACTCATGGATTGAGATAACAGTTTAATAACTAAAATGTAACAACAATAATTAAAAAATGAATAAGCGCAATGAAAAGGAGTATCATTAAAAAAATAAAAAAGAGAAATAAAACCCAAGAAAAGACAAGCAATGCACAATACAATTGCTCATCACCCGCTGACTGACGCCTGGGCAGCGATCAACCTCTCCTGACCAACTCTCCCCAGTTTCTATACTGAGCATGACATCCTATGGTATGGAATATCCCTTTGGCTTGTTTAGGTCGGCTGTGCTGGCCATGCTCCCCCCCAGGTTCTTGTGTATCTTTCACTGGCGGAGCACAAGAAATTGAACAGTCCTTAATTTAGGATAATCGCTACTTAAGCAGCTAAAATATCAGTGCATTATCAACATTATTGTCACACTAAATCCAAAACACAGAACTGTACCAGCTACTAGGAAGAAAATTAACTCTATTCCAGATGAAACCAGGACAATATTTAAGTGGGCATAACAAACATTTTGCAGTTTTGACTAGTTTAATAAAAGTGAAGTAGCACATTCTCCTTACGGGCATTACTCAATTATATTTAAAAATTTTCCGAATTTTTTTTTTTTTTGGAAGCCCTTATAACAGGGACTGTAGTAATTAGATTATTCCTTAAAGAATAACACATTGGATTTGATCAATTTCTATCCTAGGTCATAACTATTTTAAATTGGAAAGACTGGAAAAACTACATGCGTGCACAAACACACTTCTAGACACAACATAATAATTTCTAATAACTCAAGCATGAATATGAAGAGTAAGTTTTATCTGTTTTGTTTTCCTAGTGCAATATGTCCTAGAAAAAGTCCGCTAAAGGATCAGGTATTTGGCAAAAGCAAAAGCCCCTGCCTTCAAGCACCAAAATTCTTCTGATGCTTCTGTGAAATCTGACAAGAAGGCTGCACAAAACCAGCAACAGCAAGCTGGATATGAATGAAGCAGTGTCTTAACAAGGCAAAGGAGACTCTATTCAGAGGACAACTATAGTTTGTATCATAGTTTAAAAATTAGGTCATTATCTCAACTGGTCATAGAGAACATTAACTTTAGAGTTCATACAGTTCAGCTTTGCCTAAACTTTAGTTAGTTAAAAATCAAAATAAAAAACGACAAACATATGAAGTATGTTGCTACACTCAACAAAAACAAACATACAGAACCCAGTTAGTTTTTAAAAGTTATATAAAGTTATATAAGTTACTTAAACTTTTACATCTATATGTTCTAAAAGTAACATTCTAAATTAAAAATTCAACAATTAGAAGAAATTTAGATATTTAGAATAGCAGGCCAAATTAGTCCTATAATAAAATGTCATAAGAAACTCTCAATGCACCTTCGTAATGTTGCACAAAGCAGAAATTATTCTACCTGATGCCCTTCTGAACGTATTGTAAAAACCAGGAACAGTACATGGAGAGATGGAGATGGCATTTCTTAAACTGACTTCAAAATGTTTACTTCAACACATGGCGTGCCCAACACAGAACCAGCATGGTAAAAGACACCTGAACTACACATGTGCTCCAGGCAATCTACCAGGTCAAAGACTAGATTCTGGCAAGAATTTCACTTTGCTTCCTCTCTAGACTGTCTTATCTACTAAGATGACAGAGGATCCAGAGAAGACAAAGTCCTTTGTAAAGGACCAGTTCCTTGGGAAAAGTAGCAGGAGGAAGAGTTAACTGTGAGACTAAAGCTCTCAATGCCCTCCGGTTCCTTCTGACCACTGAGACATCGCGGAGGGCTGTCAGGACTGCTGAAGCAAAGAAACTCAAATGCATAGTTTTGCGTACTCCAGCTTTTACACAGTGCAGGAGATGTATTAGGATAGAAGGTGGTATGGACAATATCCCACCATTTGATGAACCCATCCCATAGGCTACCAGGAAGAGAGAACATGTTACACTGATGTGCCAGAGCAGAAAAAGAAATAGAGTTATGCGTGCTACCTGTATACAACCTCTGGAACACATCTAGCCGTAGGCAAGAAATTGGAAAAAAAAAAACACAATCACAAGAGATATAGAAGAAATCATCCCTCCCAAGCTGAAGAAATTCAACAAGCATTTTTGATTCCAGCATAGGCAATTGTAGTAAGCAGAAAAACTGAAACCAATTTAGACTGCTCTCCAGGAACATGCTCCTTTTCCAGACAGTAAAAATAATGTTGAATTGGGAATCCAAAAGGTAGAAGTGATTTTAAATGTAATACACTTTTTTTTTTTAAAGCCTACCAAAGCACAAGCAGTTTTTGGTCATATCTTTTAAAAAAAAAAAAATTAAAAAATTGTAAAACAGATTCCATGACTGATGCAGAAACCTTCAAGATAAAATAGGTCAAAACTGAGTAGACTTCTTCAAACTCAGAAAGATAGTCAAAACTAACTATAGTACAGGGGCACATACTAACTCTTTATGTTTCCATATGAAGAGGAACGTTCTCTTATTGGCACAAAAATTTTCTGGCTAACACTGCTGTAGCTGATACTTAGCATGCAATAGGAAAACAATGCAGATGCAGAAATACAAGTAACGAAGGGAGGAATGCACATTAGACAGAAGGAGGTAAACAGGCCCTTTAAACGTGCAGCATCCAAGTTCTAAAAAAGCTGGAAACAGGGGCAGTCACATGGAAAACAGAAAGGATTTCTTAGTGGTCAGGATGGACTAAGTTTCACAAGATAAATTGTGACAAATTTTTGCAAAAAGAAAGGATTTCTAAGAACAGAGATTAAGGTAACCGAAGTTTACATACAAGCTTTTTCATTATTTCTGAAATTAGTGTTTTGATTTAAAGTGTTCAGACTGGGGTAGTTCAAGAACAGATATCATTTGCTTTGTATTAACTTACCTAAAATCATTACTATATCTGGTTACTGAGCACAGACTATTAAATGTAAAATAAGAAAATACTTAATAAGTAAAACTTGTCTCTTAAAAATTATTATTTCAGAAATACCCCTGTGGCCTAACAGTGTATTTTACAGAGAGAAAACCCAGAAGAATTTAGAAAAACAGCAAATGTGTAAAAATACAAGGAAGAACAGAAGACTGATAGCACACAAAGGAAACATGAGTAGTCACTTTCATAACCAAATGACTGGATTCTAAATTAAAATCCAATTTGCTCCAAAGTAGTTTCAAAAGGACATTTAATTTTACAATTACAGTGACTTAGTCTTGTTAATAAATAAGGCATTGTACTTACAGGACAGTGACTCTTGACCCTTAGTAAATCACATCTCTAAGTTAATTAATAGCATAACCAACATTTGATGTAGCACTGCTAATATTCAAAATAAATGTTAAATCAGCTTCTAAAAAACATTCGTATGAAATAAAGCGTATGAAGGTATAACTCTTCATTATGAACAAAGATACTGCTACGCTCCATTGTAAGAAGCTTTTAAAAGTACGGCACAGATACAAAATACTACTTTGGAGTTTCTATGACATAAAAGAGAATTCTAGAACACATTAGTCACTTGAAATATCTTCATTAATGACAAGAAAAGATGTGTGATATATTTTCACTTTGACATTTATCTAAGGACCAAATTTCATGTGAATCACAGGGGAAAAAATAGTCATATGGTAAACTATCATTTTTGGCCAAATACAGATTGTTACTGTGACTAAGCAAAATCAACTCCACCTTCAATTTCCTATCTACATAAAATACATATTCTTTTAAGCTGACCTTTATCAGAAACATTAAGATACTATCTAACCATGCTTACTTCTTTATACTTTGATTCTTCTAGGAAGACATAAGAATTTTAATGCTGCACAACAGCAATTGTTCATATTTAGACCCCAAATTCTTCTCTTAAGGCAACTAAGTGTATTTCAGTTGACATGACACTGTCCTTCAGCAGATACCCAAACATCTGGCTAGTGACAACTGAAAACACCAATAATAAGAATCCATCTTGTTTAGCACAAAGTCCATGCTCTTCCTTATCTAACACAAATGTATTACTAAGATTGATAACAACTTCAATGGCTGTACCATACAAACATTAGCATGCTTTGGTTTTGGACAAGACCACCAGGAGTCCTGTAAGTCTAGTGAGGTCTTAAGTAGTTATGACAATCAAGTCTACATAAGGACAAGTTGAGAAGTTTGCACAATTAGCAGCAATAAGCACATCAACAGTTTTCTGTGTGGGGTGAAAAAAAAATAGCACACTTGACATTACTACTAAATTTTCTGTATTAATGTCAGAAAATGTTATTAGACTAATAATCACTGTCCCATTTCAATTAAATACTTATGCATTAACTATTTATATAATTCCTTAAGCAGAAGTCATAAATTACCGTAGCAAAACTAAGAGACATGTTCACTTGTATTACATTATAGAAAACTCACCTTTTCTACTATTTCTTCAGAGCACATCAGTTGAATTTGTTCATGACATTGTTTCTGGTAATAGGTCTTCAGCACATTTTCCTTTAGCTGCATTTCCAACTTGAGGTATTCTTTTCTGATCTCCTCACGGTTTGCGAACACATTTTTAAGGATTTCTTTGTATCTGTTATAACAAGGGATAAGAATAAATAATGGATTACATGCTGAAGACATTTTTTATGACCATCTCCTTTACAGGGGAAACTTTTAATTCCAAGTTAATGAAATATATATAAAAAAATGAAAGGAAAAAAGTCTGCTATAGATGAGCACTAAAAGTGTCAGTACCTCAGTAAGCTTTTAGGTACTCAAACTGGAAATGGAGTGTGAAATTTTGGAGGGATGACTAAATAAACCTTGTACTTATGAAGATGACACTGGGATTCAAAAGACAAACATTTGGAACTTCTTCACATAAGTCTTCACCTCCAAAATATGCTAAATACCTATGTTCTCTACTTCTTATACCAATTTATTAAACAGGTCAGTCTACTGTTGCCTTAGACAGATAAGGTCTCCTTCAAAAAACCTGCTAGCTATCTCTCAGAAAGGAAAACCTCAAGAGTCTTCAGTTGCTCACTTTCTCTTAAGTTCTGTTGTACAATTTTAGTCACTAATAGACAACAAAAATCAGAACATGTATCATGTTTTAGCCCGTATCAGGCTAGTAGGGGAAAAAAACAAAATAACGATATAAGGTACTTGGAGAGTTATTACAAGGAGAGCAATGATTTGCCTGCCTTAAAATCTGCTTATCCCTAGTCTGCAGTGCAAATCAGAATAACAAGATTAAGGATAAAGCCTGGAAGCATTACCCCATTGCAATGCGAGTTTCAGTGGTGGTGCTTTTTTGCTTCACCACAGAATACTGAAAATGCAGTACAGAATATCCCAAAAGGTACTGTATATCTCAATAATGACCAACCTTGTATACAAGACATTTCATAATATCCTACTGACTTGTTAGAACTCTATGTAAGATTATAGACACAGTTTAACATACAAATGTTCTAAAGACATGCAACATTTGAGGTCATTGTACAGTGCTTAGCACAGAGTATCATTAAATACTGTAAAAATACTATAAAATAACACATAGGTTCAACTAGGGAGCAAGCTGAAGAAACATTTTTGCCATGTAGTTGACTTCTTTCTGGTGTGTTTCAGAAGCAGCAATTCCATTTCATAGTGTAAAGTCTAAATAACTCAGTCTTTTATTTTAGTGTTTCATTGCTCTTATTTCAAAAACAGAATCAACAAACAAAATTCTCTACACTTTTAGAAATATAACAGTTTTATCTGAAGTGTCCAGAGAATGTTATCATATCTAGGTAAAAGTGTGTACTAAAAGACACACAGAATTTAGAAATAATATTTCTTTAAGGAATAAAATAATCAGCTGAAGTATCAGAGTTCTTACCCTACACTGTTACTATCTATACAATCTGCACTACTATACTATCTGTTGCACAACCAGTTAGAGAATTTTTTTACTACATAGTATCCATAGAAACATGGTTCCTCCCAGCTGCCTGGGAAACAGCAATAAGAAATGAAGGTGAATCCTCTCTCTAAATTTCCCTCACAGTAAAAACTCTGGGCATAATTTAAGAGAGGCTACAGATTCTAACTCTGTGTACAGTCACTATGAGGAACTATTACCGGTAAATCAACACTTCGTGTCCCAATCAGTGACCCAAATATAGCATCAAGTATAGAAGCCTTAACAAAGCTCTTGCCTTGAGCTGGATTCACTCTTTCAGTAAGTACACTTCTATTCTTATGCAGTTACCTTTTCCCTCCTGCATTTCAAGATGACAAAGTGATCCTGTTGGCATATCCAGAGTAGGAATTCTCTGGACTACCTAGTCTCAAAGAGCCCATGGACCTGACAGTGATAGTTCCAAAGCCAGCATCCAATGTCTACCTCAACAAGCTCAAGACATGAAGGGTTGGCAGACAATGCATCTCCAAGCTTTAGACAGAGGGAGCAGGAATGACCTTTGGGTTTCAAGAAGCAAGTGCTGTAATCAGTGAGTCTCTTCCAGATAACAGTGAAACAAAAGCCATAGGTAGCTGGACTGAAACACAGGATTGTGGATAAGGCTCTCTAACCTGTCCCAAACAGAAGAGGGGAAGACAGCAGAATACCTTCAAAACCTGTACATTAACGTGGGGGAAATCAACTCGTTACCCACACCATCAGTAGGATGAATCTGACAGAATCATCATGGGGAAGAAGAGAATGAAACATCCACTTCATCACATCATAGAGGGAATGGGATAGGCTGACATGAATATTTCAGAACATTAAAACCCAAACAATCTCTGACCAACAGATCTTGGCATACAGTATGTCCAGCATTTTGAGAAGACATTTTAGAGACCTTGCCCATGACCAATTCTTCCCCACCCCCACAAAACTAAAAGGACAAATCAAAGCGGGGGAGGGGGGCAGGGAAAGAAGACTTACAGTGCAAAAATACGCAGGAAAACTGTCAGAACTATCAGCATGACTTGGAGACCTACACTTCTTGTGAAAATAAAATTTAAATAACCTGAGTAAGAGGTTTATTGAAACCTTTGGAATGCTAGTAAAATGAAACTCACAAGAGCATTGTGCTTTGAATGGGTTTTTTCTTTTGCCTCAGAAGGTTTTCCAGGTTAAAAAAATACCACGCTCAAAGGGCCAATTAAAAAAAAAAAAAAATAAATCAATTGAATAAACCTAGGGGAATAATTCTCAGAAACATTTCATGTGATATGCAGGGACAGATCCAAGCAGACTTTCACACCAAAACCTAACCTTCTTATAGAAGAGATTGACTTCTGCAAATTCATATATTACATCTTACTTTGTTATTTTTTGTGTGCTCTCACGAGAGACTGTCACATCAGAAAAGATAGACAGGAACATCACCAAGAAGAAAAAGAGTCCAAGAAATATAAAAGCAATGGAAAGTAAGGAACCTACAAACATTAATTAAACTCTTTGGAAAGAAGAACTTCAAGTTCTTGCCTCTCTTAAACCTTGCAGGAATGATACTGCTGAAGTAATATGCCAGCAGTAGCAGCAGCTGCTGTCATTTATGCAAACTACATTCTGTCTACCTACAAAGATGACATCTTATTAAATAGCTTTGCTGAAAGCTAACATACATATGCTCCTATGCTCCTTCCTGCTGCATCCATGTGTCATTTCCCACCCCCCCCGAGATTACTAAAATGACTGGGTTGTGAGGGGAAACACCACTATTAGAACATAGAGTACAGTCTGGGAATTTCCGTACAATGCAAGAGAAAGTCAAGTTCTATTTGGTAACATGCTCCTAGAGTTGTTAGAAAAGAGCCTTGTAAATATTCTGCTGTCCTCCTCCCCAAAACATAGCATCTTGATTTTAAGTATAGATCTTGACCGGTTTATTGATAATATAACCTTAAAACTATAGTAACTTTCTCTTAAGACATTTTCAGATTTTTTGGGTTATGAAGATAAGCTTCCTACCAAAAGATGGACTTTTTTTCCTGTTATTAAAGGACTCTGCCTAGTTTTAAAAGTCCTCTGAGATGGACTTCTATCATCCTCCAAGTAAGGCTGTTCCACGTACAGATATACTGGGAAGCTTTTGTTGCTATTATGTTCAACTTTTTTGCCGTTTCCTAAACGTATTATATTTCTTTATTACATAACACTCAAATATAACACTACCTTATTTTGTTACATTTATCATTCTATTTCTATCATTAGGTTATTGTTCAGCCCACATACAGAGCAGTTGTCTGGCTATTTAGTTGTTTTGTTTGTTTGCTTGTTTTTTTCACAATATTTTTATTTAATACATTTTTAGTTGATTTTCTGGCTGGCAGTTATTTTTCATCACTGGATTTTCACCAGTTTTCCAGTGTTGTTCCTGATAACACCTCAGTGAATGATTCTATCCCAGCTCTGTACCTCCCACAAACACACACTTTCATGCAATATTTTTGCTACCAAATAATTTCATTTTTATCTGCCACTGCATGTGGGTGTGCACAAATGTATGTATACATATATATGTATATACACACCTGAACTCAGTTTTTGAAAGATAATCTTTCATATAGGGATCCTTCTAGTAACACAGGAGTAACAACAGAAATCAGATTTGAAAAGTCAAGGTGACAAAATCAATTCATAGCAATTTTGCTAAATGTGGACTCAAAACAGGGTAAGAAATTTATAAAATTTACATCTAGTAAATTTTAATTTTTACATTTAGTTTTTCTGAAAACTTACATTAATATATGGTACTTTAAACAACCAAGGTAAAATACGTTTGTCATTTTTTTCTGAAATCTTTAGCTTGTGATAGTAGAAAAGAACTTAGCCCTATAGAACCTTTGTCCTAAAATCTTTTGTGTTATTATTGGTAGAATTTAATCTGTACTGCAATACAGATTAACATTGGTAGCCTTGAGACAAAAATACCCAACTCTCCCATGACATATCATTATAATAATGAAGCTATTGATAAGCTTTAAAAAACCTAGCACATAAGCATTTTACAGACCTTCATAAGAAAGCAACTATAGATGTGAGACCTTTCCCTCTGATCTAACTTGTAATGTCAGCTTCTTGAGGATCAGAGTATATGATTATTTTGCAGTGTTTTACTGAATAATTTGCCTAGAAGGTTAACAGCAGGATACTTCCTCAAATACACTGTATTTGTTTCATTTTAAATCCACCACCAAGTTGTTTTGAAAGCAAGTAGCAAGTTATGCAAAACCACATCTAATCTAGGTAAAGCAATGTTAAGAATGAGGAAACCAGTATTCAAAAGAATAAGTTTGCTTTACAAATGCTTTTACAAGTTATGCAAACTCCAGTTTGGAGGCAAGATCGTAATGTGATTAATTTACCTTTCTATTTCCACTTGCTGGTTGTTTGGAAGTACAGCAGCATTATGATTTTCAGGAATGCTTGCCTGCTTTTGTTCGTAGTCTCTCAGTTTCTCTTTCAACATTAGGATCTAAACAAAAAAAAAAGGCACCTTTTAGTTAGAATATTCTTTTTTGGGTTTTTTTTTAAACCTATAATTTTGTGCTCATGTCTTAGAAAGCTTTACAAATGGCAGTAGGTGATATTTGTCCTCTTAGAAGACAAGACATCTTTCTTACTTCAAAAGATTATATGGGAGAATTAGAACAATATTTCCTTATAGGTTCAACACCATGAAGATTTTTTTGTATTTAAAATTATAACAGTTCATCTTTCAAACTTTTAACAATAGACTTTTTACATACCTCTTTCTTTTGTTCATTGCAAATTTTAACATACTGGCTTATGTGACTGTCCAAACTAACAACATTGCTCTTCAACTGTTACAGAAAAGAAACAAGTTAAAATTTAAGAAGGCTCCTTCATGTTTTCCTGCATAATAAATACACTGTGTATTAGTACTACATATTTACACTTGCACTATATTATGAGGAAAGGGGTGAACAAAATCTGGACTTGCACAAAAAAAATATGAGTCAGCTTTTGCAGTCATCTGTTGCATATACCTGGCCATGTAATTTTCCTCAACAAAACAAAACAAAAAAAATAGTTACACTTGCGTGCGCAAGCATATTTTGAATTTATTCAGACAGGTTTTACTATTTAATGTTTATCTTGTGCATTCTATGATAAAAACTATGGAACAAATGGAAGCTACAGTCAAAGAGATTGGGAGCTGCAATACCAAGGATTATGAAAAAAAAAAAAATCAGAACAGAGAGCAAGAGACAGGACACCCCAGTGTTCTCATTTATCAATATAATTTCACTGAGCTTCTTGGCTCCAGCTGAATTGTACCTGCAACAAATCTGTGCTGGCTCTTGTACAACTGCTCAGACTTTTCTTTAATATACTTTACATTTCTCTGAGAAAGTACTAGTATGACACTGAAATTGGTGGTGAATTCTATCAGCTGAAGATTATTTCTGAGTTTGATGCTCATAAAACAAACTCTTCCAAACTCTCAGCATAATCCCATTAAAGAAGCTATGTTGCTTTTAGACCAGAACTAGTATCTACATCTACTACATCTACCACTCAGATGATGAACAGTTGACTGTAAGAAAAAAAAAGCACGAGGTAACTGAACAAAATTTTGAGAGTAAAGTTAAAGGAATCATAATCTTTTAAAAGACATAACTCTCCTCTCAATACTACATTATTACACTTTGACAAATGATCAATAAATACCAACATACTCACAGAGGACTTTATATCCTTTGCTCGGTTTGCATACTTAAGAGTATTATATGTATCATCATAGAACATAGAAGATGGACTAACAGCAGCTATCATTATTGTTCGGCAATTTCCTCCAAGAGAATCTTTCAATAAACGAGTAAGCTTGCTGTTTCGATAAGGAATGTGTTGTTTCTTGCTCTAGAGAGATGCATTTTTATGGATTAGTCACCCATACTTTAAATATTCACCTGCTTAGAATTTCAACAATGCCACAAAACATGACAAACAGCCCTAGAACTTTTCTTTGACATAAGTAATTTTTCTCAAAATTACATATATATTTCAAACAGTTTTAAATCTCTTGGAACTGTTTAATACCTTTATAACATATGTATTAGCCAGGTTACTTTCTGATGTCTGGATATGTAACAACTATTTTTGTTATGTGGGCAACTAACAGACATAGTAGACTACATTAAACTACTTCCAGTTCACAGAATAATCAAGGCTGGGAAGGACCTCAAAAATCCATCTAATCAAATCCCTCTGCTCAAAGCAGGGTCAGGTGGAGTAAGGAACCAAGGACTATGCCCAGTTGGGTTTTGAATATCTCCAATGATGGAGATTCCACCACCTTTCCAGACAACCGAAAGTGTGCTTTGTGAAGCTTTTTTTCAATCACATCTGCAGAATCTTCATCTCATGGTACAAAGTCAGGTCACTAGCACCCCAATCCCACACCAAATAAGTCAATGTGAAGAGTCTTATATCTATGGTACAGATTTTATGTTCTGCCTCCCGCTCCAACAAGATGGTGATGAGAATGTACTGCAGCAGGAAGGGAAATAAAAGCTCTGATCATTTTCCCTGTCATGTTTGAAAGGGGAAATTGCTAGCTGACCAGAAGGACAAAAAGGGTGTAGGTACAGGCACTGGACTTGACTGTGGCAAAAGTTCAGGTTTTGTCATTCTCTCACACAACTGTCCCCACACTCCTTCCCTTGAACCAGTGAGCCACACCAGGAGACTAATTCACTACTGTGATCAGAAGATGGGGAGGGGGGAATACATAGGCAAGAAAAACTTTGGATAGGTGTTTGCTCCTATAAAAGCCTCCACCCCTAAAATTAAAGGGCACAAACCTCCGGAAAAATCTTTGCCCTCATAAGGCTAGCTATTTACTCATGCAAGCTTCTCTACATATGCTCTTCTTGAAAAAGACGAGTAAGAAAATCAGGTATATTCATCTTTGACACTATCCTTAGGTAGCTGCACACTGTTTTTGAGAACTCCTTCCCATTGGGACTCTTCCAGCTATCACAAAGATGATGGTGAAAACCCGTAAGAAAATCTTAAAGGAAAATGATGACATAAGAAGCATCAACAATGTAATCCCTCTTTACTCAATGAGAGCTTATCATTTTAACAATGTTTTCAGAACACTATCAGGTGAAGTGTATATGGGAAAACAGCACATACCTTTGGATCTGCCAAAGCGTTAATGACATTTCCAAGAGCTAGCAGGGAGCGGTTTATATTTGTTCCTTCTCTAAAACGAGCCCCCTTGGTGTTTGTCACGCTGGCACGTTCAGATCCTGCCAGGTCAATGAGAGACATTTTGGCGATGCGAACATTTTGATTTATACTAGCTGTTTTATCTTGCTGCCTTAGATAAATCTACAATTAACAAAAAAAAAAAAAAAAAAAGAATTAGTAAGTAAGCACTAACCAGTCTGTTCTTACTCTAGCAGCGAGTTAATTTTACAGTATAACAACTGTTTTCAGAAATTTTTACTGGAATACTTCTCAGAATCCAAGTTAAACCTTTCAGTACATATCTAACACCAATAGGCAGTTTAGCCTAACGGAAAATAGTGAAACCATTTCTGACCCCTCTTAAAGTCACCTTCTTTGGGTATTAGGGAAAAAAGCAGAGTGTGGTTGCACTGGGTTTGTCTGGGATGGAGTTGATTTTCTACGTAGCAGCCCATATGGTGCTTTGAGATTTGTGACCCAAACAGTGCTGATTTTGTATAGTACGCTGTCAAGGTGGTGGGCAAGAGGTTGTGAGAGGACATCTGGGACAGTTTACCTCAACTGACTGAAACTGTCTCCAAAGTAGCCATTGCTTGAGGACTGGCTGGGCATCAGTCTGCCAGCAGCAAGTGATTTCTTCTCCCGCTAGCCTCTTCATGTAAGTGAAACCCAAGGTACTTCCCTCTCCCTCTTGCTTTTGCCCTTTTGATTCTCTCTCCCATCCTGCTGCAGAGGATTAAATTGAGCCACCGGGCCAGGGCATACTACAGCAGCAAAGACTGGTAAGCTTCAAATGAATTTCATAACTAAAATAGCTCTTGAATTTTCTGCACTCAAGATGTATACCACACTATTGCATTTCAAACTGAAAAAGGTGTTCGTTTTCTAAAGGTACCTTTAAGAGTATACCATAAAGATATGTCCAGGGATAAACCAGGAAAAAGGCTGGACTTCTAGTGATTTAGACTTAACTGTAACTACCAGTAATAGGGGAACAATACTCATTTACTGCTATGAAAACACATACTACTCCATGGTCTTTTGGAAAGCTGTGACCCCTGAGGCCACTTGTTCCCCCTCATCCCTTCTTTCCTGAAATTTTCATGGTACAGGAGATAGATAAGGAAGTAAATGCTTTTGCTTCTTTTTGCTAGTGAAGGTATTCTTTCCTCAGGTTTGAGAAAATAGGCAGAGCATGATTATATAGTCAACAAGAATTACAGTTATCCTCAAATGGCTTCTACATTTTCAGGATTCTCTGTAAAATTTCCCATTCTGTTACTGTATTGACAGTGAGTTAGGAAAGAGTTGTCATAGGTATAGGGTCATTGAGAAAGACTATATCTCACCAGTTTTGTAGCCTTAAGCTTTGCATGTGAGAAACGAAGTCATCACAGAAATTTATAATAGGAAAAAAAATTGACAAGTATTGGGAGTGAATAACATTCTTATGACTTACCACAAAAGGCATGTCTATACCAAACAGACATGTTTCTATATCAAACTATACAAGTAAGTTCTGTTGTATGATTTCTAGTACAATATACAAAAAAAGCCACTTCCCTATACTTACCTTGGTAAAGTAGCTCTCTCGGGCTGGTAACACTTTACCAGAATCCAGTAACTATCATTAATGAAGTAGGGAAATGCGGAGTGACAGCCAAACTGTGTTGTATGACTCAAGCTTTTATAAAAATTCGAAAGATACAGGAAAAGCCCCAAAGCAGAATCTTTTATATTTCTTTGTCCGTAAGCAGAAAACTTTCAATAGAACAGTGTGGCAATTGGGATTTTACTTTCAGATGAAGTAATTGCCTGACCTAGATAGAGATTTCAGACCTAAGACAGATTGTACAGTAAGGCAAAGCTTGCATCTCTAAAATCAGTTCAGAATGTCCTGGGCCAAGACTTTTACTACTTCCTGAGCCAGTTCCAGAAAACAACCTGCTCCAAGCAAGTTGACAACAAAAACTAAAGCCACCATAAAAGATAACTGATCTCTACAAACAAGAGCAACTCTCAAAATAAGAGAAAAATTAAAAATGAAGAGGAATCAAGACAGCAATAGCAGTTTCTCATAATTTATATCTGTGGAACCAAAGAGGCAATAAAGGATAAGCAGGTAGGACATGTTTTGCAAAATGTCACAGATTTGCACAAACAGATGAGAAACTAACACAGCGATTACTAATTTTCCAGTTTGTAACTAGGTCTTACAGATGCCAGCACTGCTAATGAGTGTATCAAGTCGATAAGAGTATCTAAGAATCCACTTTAAAAAATTGTATGACTGAATTTGCTCAGCTTAAACCAGTACACATTAATTTAAACCCGTTAAACTTCCAATTACATTCATTGGAACAATCTAGTTAAGCAACCGTAATATTGCTTTCAAGTGCTATGTACAGATGCAGCATTGCCATTAAGCATTTATTTACACACACATTTTTGTAAATAAATGACATAATCCTTCCCCTCTTCTCAAGCATAAAAGAGTCACTTCTGTGAAAAAGGCTTAAAACTCATACACTCTTAAAATGTGCTATTATTCAAAGGCTGCACTAGTTTATGTTTGAGAACACACGATATTGGTAGATATTTATGTAAATCACACGTTGAAGATACAATTGTCTAACAACACAAATCATGACTTTTACCAATAATTTGTGCATTTAACAGAAAATAACACTCAAGTGAACTCAATTAAATATCTTGATTGACCGCTAGACCATCTCAAAAGACAAATGCAACTAACATTCAGGATTATCTCATTACAGGAGTTAACTGGATTAGAAATATTGCAAAAAACATCAGAGAAAGTTTTTGCTAACTACAGTATCCTTGAACAGAATCAGTCTGACAGATTTTGTGAATGAACTGTGTGCTAGGACTGAATGCTGAGTACATAGCAGCACATGCTTTGAGCCACGACATGGCAATGCCTCATCTTTACATTGAAGTGTATTTTCCTTCATGGAAAAGTTCTAACACCCAGATATTTATCCATGATTATCAAGTTCAATCAACCATGCCATTTAACTGACTGCAGCTGCATATGGAGACTGGCTAAGGGACAGCCAAGTGCATTTTACACAATCATGCTATGGGGACACAAAGAAGGAAAGAAAGAAAACAGAGAGATTAGTCCAGAAATTACTTTGCTGATTATCTCGAGCTCAAAGACAAAAACTTTCACAGTAGTCTAAGCAATCTGATCTTATTACCAACAGCAATGACTTCAGAGAAAAATATCATTCAGGGCTTAAGACAGGTGAGTCACAAAAGTATATACTTTTTGCTTTTTAAAGTCAGATGCTTACTGTAACAGTATTTGGTAAACATTCAAAGAATTGTTATTTATACTATCACATGCATCACACCAGTTTACAGTGTGTATATAACACACACAAAAAGTAACAAAGCTTGTTTATTTTAGAATATGAAAAGCATTTACAAAACCACTGAGAATGAAAGTTTTTGTTCAGTGCATTTCAAACAAGCTGTATCGTAAATATATGTATGTTTTGTATACATACACACACAGAGAAATTATGTTTCCTATTCCTACAATATTTAAATATAAGAGGAACTTTGTTTTCATTATTTTTTTTACTTATATTGCCAGAGAGTAAACAATCCTCTCACCTGCAAGCATTCAGATTTGGTTCACTTTTGCTGTCTGTAAGCTCAGAATAGTTTGAAATGATTAATTTAAAAAAAGTGTAAATCTGATTCAGTAAACCAATCCATTTTTTTGGTCATACATAGAAACAAAATTGTGCTAAGATATACGTGTACTAATTTTGTCAGTATAGTTTATTTGGCAAATATGCAGCTTTTGATAACAAGTAAGTACATCCACAATGAGATCAGTTTGCCAGAATAAATAGAGAATGTAGGCTGGAAAAGACAAACTCTCCAGCATCCCTGCTCACAAAATTGTTTATCTTCTTAAAGATATACCTAATTTATTTAACTGCTTGCCACTTTTAGAAATGAACTGAGAGGAATGCAAAGCCTGTCAGACAATACAATCCAGAGGTTTTTTTGGAATAAGGGTGAGGGAGGTAAAACACTCCAGCCCAGCAAGTAAAGAAACATAAATCTGCTGTTCACTCTCTGATCTCAGCCTGTGGCACTGTACTTTATGCCTTATTAAGGGCAGCACACATGCACAACAATGCAGCTCTAAAACTGAACAACTTCCCAATAAGTCTTTGCCTTACATGTACAACCATGGGCAAGACCTCCAGAGAAATTAAAAACAGGAAGGGTAATCTCAAACACAAGTCAAAGACATACAAGAAAACACAGAAGTTTTTGAAGTGGGAATGACTTTTGCTCCATTACATATTTTACAAGTATTTAAGACATTTACTGTCTGTTATTATCCTCTCTTCTCATTAGTATTGACAGTAGAACTCCAGCAAGCTACCTTTACAGCTAATTGCATTGCCAACATCTATGACAAAACCCCAAACTTTTGGCTATAGTTACTAAGCATTGCCTAAGTATGCAGATACACTTAAGAGCTACATAACAGTTAAATAGTTTAGCTGTAATGCAAGGACTAGAATTAAGATTTATTTTAATATTTTGCAGCCCAGAATGGCAACCATAAATAATTCAAGATGTGCTTTGCAGTATGCACTAGCAAACAGAAAAAAAAAACTTCAGCTAACAAAACTAATTTTTAAATATGTTTTAAAAATATCAAACGTTTTATTTAAGAGGAGTCAAAAGGATAAGGTGGTGGTTAGCATACAGCAATCATCTCTGGAGAATTCTTAACTTCTAGCAGATTTCTACAACACATGCAAAACTCATCTATGGAAACTAAAAATCAGCATTTCATTTTGATGATGCAAGTATGTGTATGGAGATATTTTCAGAGAGTATATACTGCTTAAATTGTTCTAAAACTTGGTACATACCAGATTAAGAAATCTCTTTCATGTAAAAATCAACATCAACCAAAATAAGATGGATGGGAAAGTGTTACTTGAGATTCTCAGTTTGGAGTCAAACATATAAATGCATTCTGTAAAAGATTTTTCCTAGAAAAATGCTAAGCAACGTAATGAAACCAGAAAGCATTAAAAAAGGCCCAGCAGCTTTCAGTTTTTGAGAGATTACAATATGAAAGTATATTAAAAGCTCAAAATTACAGTTTTACAGAAAATATATTTCTTCTAAGGAATATTAGTTCAAAGTATTGGAACTAGAGAGCTTTTAATTTAATTACTTTTTTCAAATATAATCACCATGAACCTTTACATACTTATAAGGAATGAGCAGTCAACAAGAAGAGTAAACTGGAAAACTTTAATCTCTTCTCAACCAAAGGTTCAACAGTTTAAAAAAAAATAAAGATTCCATTGTGTTCAACTTCAAACAAAAACTGCAACTTACAATAATGACCACTGTACATCTGGTATATCATCTTACCTGAAAGACAGCATGGGACCGGGAGGAGGAGGCGTTTACATCTGTGGGATGTTGTGTTCTATTTTTATTTCCATAATCCAACATTTGAAGGATTTCCTCTGCTGATTTAGGCTTTAAGGGTAGAGCACAAGATAAATGCATTTTTTATTCTTTTTGGTCAACTATAGGAGATTCTACTCTGATTCAAAAATACATTAACCTTCAGCTTCAAAAAAAAATGAAGGAGCTTAAACTTTCAGTTACCTAGAAAAGAAGAGAAACTTCCTCTTTGGAATTGAGGCGCTTCAATCAAGCATTCTCAGTTAAAAAGCAGTTAGGTATGGAAAGCAAGATATTAACTGCAGAAATTTAAATCATAAAATTTTTTTAGTAAAGAATTTAAACAAATCTGCAAAGATTCTCCATAGTTAGAAGAGGTTTTCCTTATGAAAGATTGACTTAATTTTTCTCATACTAATGAATTAAACAGTAATATAGTAATTTTTTCCCACACAAGACCCAAGCTTAGAGAGGGCAGGTGATTAGAGTAAGCCAAACTAGTAACTGTTTCTTGTTGAACCATTATTCCATGTACACAAAAGCTGGAAGCTACAAAGCATGTAACATACACTAAAAGGCTGCAAGAAAATGGGTCCGCAAGAGTTGATTTTCAGATTGGAAAACTGCTATGCTGGCCTGGAAAAGTAATTTAACATGAAACTTTTCAAACATGGGTTATTGAAAACCAAAACCAGCCCTGAGATGTAGAAGACTCCAAGATAGCACTGAAGGCAATGAATTTGTTTATCAAATGGTAAGATGTTTTAGCCAAAAAAATGAATTTTCTAAAACCTGAAGATGAGCATTAAACCAACAGTACCCTCTCAATAATATGGACTGAATGCTTTTATCCATTTGTATTCAAGAACATTAGCAGCTTTTTCCACAACATGCTTTTGAATAATTAATTAGTTAGGTTTGCAAGTTACTAACATAGTGGTGATTATGACCAGGAAAAAAGCTCACTAAGACTTCACCATTTTCTCAAACACATTGTGAGGCTTCTTGAATTTCAATACTTATTTACATACCTGATGTAATGTTAACCCCTGAACTACAACACCCTTCTGGGCATCTTCACGAACAGCCAGAGGTCCAGAGTTTACCAGCAGATCACGGATCTGTTCATTGTAGACCTTTGAAAAGGAATTGAAAATCTTTTATTAAATTAGCCTACCATACTTGACAGGATTAAATTTAACAAACCAGAAATGACTACAATTCTTTTAAGAATTATTTAAGACAAAGTAACAAATTCTTTCTGTAGAATTTTTGCCAAACAGCTTTCTTATACTGAGCTTGAAATATTAATTCAATTTGCAGAATTTTTTTAGCCATTGAAGTGGGAATCGCTCTTCCCTAGTAAATAATCTTTCTTTAATAAAAACAAAAAGTAGTTTACTTTTTTAACAAAAAAACCTGTTGCAGCAAGCATGAATCCAAAGCATTTATTCTCCTCTATTACACCTTCATAATCCATACTTCAGTGAGATTTCTTAATCCAAATGTACATCTGCTAAAATTCTTAAATACTTTACTTCTTGGTCTGCAGAAGCACTTGAAATACCACACGGCAAACCAAACTTTTCCCTCTTTCTCTCCCCTCAAATACTAACTATTCTTCTATTATGACTTTGGGGGGGTCTAGGAGGTAACAATTTTATTATTACTGCTTGACAGCAGTGCTGAGACAGTTACTTGTAAAAACAGAACTGTGATACCAAAAAGTTGGAGAGGAGAGAAGACAGTGACACAGAACAAAAGTAATATTTGTAAAGAGCTAGCCATTGGCACAGCAGCTCTAACTCAAGTAGTTATACTGTACCTCAGATAAGTAAACTAAGCTGAAAACTTTAAAAAAACATCATCAAAAAGGGGTTAGATATCATTTTGTTGTGTGATTTCACAGTGCTTATAGGTTTTTATTGTCAAGTCCTCAAGTATAGCCCTGAAAAAATATTTTCTTGTAACATCAACAGATGTTCAGAGGGATATAAAGCTGATGAGCAAGACAGAAATCATTAGAACGTTTAGTAAATATATTGGAACAGGTTGGCCTTTTGGGGCAGCTTTCTGTAAAATAATAATAGGTGCCTCTGAGTAACACCCAATTCGTGGAGTACAGTTCAGTTCTATTCCTATCAGGGACACATTCTGTAAAGTCCCAGAAAAGCCTGGGGGAAGGCAAAAGTAACTTGTTTATTAAAATCTGCCTTGTTAAAAGCAACATACCAAATGCAGGAACTTGCTTACCTCCAAATAAGAGACAGCAATATTGCATATTTTATCTTCTTTTATCTGATCCATACAATCATAAAGTGCCATCATGGTTAAATACATCACTCCAGGATCTTCAGGGGAGCCTAACATTGTATGAGTCTTTCCAGCTCCTGTTGCGCCATATGCAAGCACTGAATTTTCACACACACACACAAAAAAAAACCAAAGCAGAAAGATGCACTTTATGCCAGTAAGCTAATCAGGAAAACACAAGTCAAAAGCCATTCTCACACCTCTGTCATTCTGCACAGCTGTTTTCATAAACTAATCAAGTTTCTTACTTAGACTTTACCTTTTACAGCTGTAATCAGAAAGCTATTTCAGAATCACATTTATTTTTGAATTTTCAGTTCAAAACTCATTCACTGGCAATTTGTATGAAAATATTATCTGCTTACTCTGAAAACCCTAAGTCACCAACTTATTGCAGGTAGGTATATAATTTCCTCACCATGTTCCATCTACCAATTAAAAAACCTAGTTCTTACAGTTTATAAGCAGACTACCACACACTCAGTGACACAACTGCTTCTGGATGAGTAACTCTTCCCAGAGGACTCCCCTCATAAGCATGCATATTTCAGATGAAATCCTGAAGTCTATTATAACCCTAACATGAACTCATTTTCAAAACAGAGTAGAGCTATCCTCAGTTCTACAGGCTAAAATGTCAGCCTCTAATATCTATAAATTAAATCAAAATGCTTTATTTATACCTCTGCCTTTTCTAAAGCATTTGCAACAGTTGGATACAATGGTAGAAACTTTGAGGAATTCAGTGAAGTTTTAGAATTGAAGAAGGTAAGTAGCAAAATTACCTGTGCAGTTATATCCATTTAAGAAGCCATCGATTACACTTTTGGTAGTATGCTCAAAAACTTCCAACTGGGATGAACTTTCAGCAAAAACAGCATCAAACACAAATTTGAGATCCTTCTTTTTTCTTTTATTAATATCCCTATGGGTCAGTCTCTTCCCGTGAAAGAAGCTAACTTCTTCATCCTTTGGATCGAAGACCAATATATGCTGGTCAACAACATGAACAGCCTTGCTAAAGTTGCCATCTTTCTCCTTTTGAGACTCTGGACGGACACGGACCACCACTTTCACATGATTACAGACATTTTCTTCCGTAGCAGCAGACATAACAATGTCCCTTTTGTCCCCCTTCTTTGCTTCCAAGACTTTTTCAGGTCAAGCAGATGAATCTTGTCTGCAATTGACAAAGAAGAGTGAAAAGCCTTATATTTCCCCCGTAACCTTTTAAACCGTTCACACCTTTAACTGGGACTATCACTGCACACCTGTGCTGGATCTGCCCATCCCTCATTAACACTCTGGACTGCCACAGTGATAGAACAACTTTGGAAAACATTGTAACCGGCCCAAAAATGTAACCTAGTTTATCACAGTTTTAAGAAAAATAAGTAACATTTCCTTAGGAAATTCGTATGCTTATTTCAACAATTTAAGCTAATAATTCATCTACTGGCTTTCTATTATTTCAGAGCAAGTTTGTAGACAAGCTATTAAGTTTCCACAGACTAAAGTGAATTTTATCGTTCTTCAGCAAAACACAGAGTAGCTGCCGATCAGCTTTCTCCGGGTCATTGGTTTAGTAACACTGCACATAGATTTAAAGAGACAGTTAAAGTGGGGTTCACGTTAACGTAACTCGCAGGGGACACAGAAACACGTTCCATAGCTGTCAAACTCGAATTTCCTCTTAATAGGCCACCCCCGCCGAAAACTAAGGGCCGGTCACGCCTAACAACAGACAGTCACCCTCGCGGTAAAGGTTCTCAGTGGCACTTTTTGAGCTTCGGGTCAAGCTTGCCCGCTCTCAGCCGAGCGGCCCCACAGCCGCTGACGTGACCGAGACACGGCAACGGAGGAAAGGCCCCGAGGCGGAAAAGTCACAGCCCAGCCCCACCAGAGCCTCCCCAGCAGGCAACGCTGCCCCGGAGCCCACCCCGCGGCCTAGGCCACGGCGGCAAGACCCGGGCCGCCACTCACCTCACCGCCGCGCAGCAACCGCCGCCCGCCCCGGCCGCCGAATTCAAACGGGAGCGGCTCCGCCTCCCGCCGCCCGCTCATTGGCCGCGGCGGCTGACACCGGTAGCGCGACGGCGCTGACGGTAAGCGCGTGGGGACGCGCAGCGCAGCGCGGGCTGGGGCCTGTGCGGGCGGGTGTCGGCCGCGGGGCTCAACCCCCGCCACCCCCGGTGCCCGCCGCGGGGGGCGGCGCTGAGGTGGAGGCTCCCCCACAGCCGCGCCGCGGGGGTGGGCGCGCAGCTTCCCGGCGCTCTCTTGAGGGAAGAGTGCGAGGCCTGGCCTGGCCTGGCCTGGGCGGGGCGGGGCGGGCGCGCGCGCGGGGGGCTGCGGGGGTCAGCGGCGGAGCGCAGCGTGAGGGGATCTATCCCCCCCGGGCCTGGGGGGGTGGGCGGGCAGGCAGCTGCTCGCTGCCAGTGATCGCTCGAATCCCGGCGGCCCGGCCCGGGCGGGGAGCGCGGAGCAGTGCTCGGCCTCCCACGCGGGGCCGTGGGGCGGGATGCGCGCCACTTCTCCGGGCCCCTCTGGGAAAAAGCCTTACGGAGTCGGACTGTTGTTCCCCGGCTGCCTTTACTGCCCGCTTCAGCGCAAGTCCTAGTCTGCGGACGGCTGCCTCAGGCTGCCCTAATGCCGCTTAACATGCGTGCTGTGAGAGAGTACGCTTTCTGCTCGCTTCTCAGAAAAATAATCCCTGATTATGTAGAATGAGGTTGGGTGTAATCAAAGGGTGTCCTTGGTGTTAACAGTACCTGGGTTCCTACCACCGTAAAGCAATGTGAGTTGGCTGATGATTGTTGGTCTTCAACCTGTTCGTACAATATTTTCTATAGAGTCATTGTGGTTCATTGCAACATCTCAGGGCTGTGGTAGGTCTGTGCAAAGTTATGGAGTGATACATGCTTCCAAATTTAAGGTAAGGGGGAATACTGCCCAGCTGGGGCTTTAATTATCAGGAGAACAACTTTCCAGGGGTGATGACAGGGCATGTGCTTACCTATGTAGACAAAACATGAAGCTGATGGCTAGGTGACCCCAAGAAGAGCATGTAATAAAACTGATGTTTTTTTCCCACAATGGTAGTGGGGAAAAATGTAGGATAACATGTTTTTTGAATGGTTTTATGTCAAAGTTTGCAACTTCCTTGCCTGGTAGGAAAAAGCATGTGATACAGTGTTACAGAAGGTCTCATATTTATAAAGATAGCTTATAAATAAAGCTTTATTATCACTTATCTTAAACTTTCAATTTCTTGTTTTATGGATGGTAAAAATTTGCTTAAATCTTCTAGATTATTGACTTGGTTTTGGAGTGTTTTGGACAGAGGGAAAAAATCATCTGTTCTGTATGTAGTTAAAAGACATCTATGTAGCTAATCACTGATGTTTCCAGAGTTCCGAGAATTATTTCAGTTATACTCAGGGGAACAATTATTTCTGGCTGTAGTCAAAATACTTGGTATTACAAGATGTATTGCATGAGAAATCCATGTATTTACTGCTTGTGTTAAACTAAATTGTAGCACCGTTTTAAATACAGTTGCAGTATTTGATTTGTCCATTCCATTTTTAACTAGAAATGTGGAAAAGTTATAGCACTTGAATGCTAATATTCAGAGGAATTGTTTCATTATGTTTAGCAAAATGGAGGGGGACAATTTGAAAGTGAAGTAACTGTTCTTGTGCTCAGATTTGGTTAGTCATTTAATGTTAGCATCTCTGGGGCATTGTAACACAGTTACAATGGCAATGAAAAGGGAAAGAAGGTGTTACTTAGAAAAGTAAAACCATTGTTGCTTGAATACGATTGATTGGTAGATAACATTGAAAATTCTGAAAACAAGTTCGAGAATCTCACTTTTGCTGACATGACATACCTATAAAACTTCCCATCTTGGACTGTGTAATGCTTTACTTACAGTATTGCCCCTTTGTTTTTTAACAATCCTCCTGTTTTAAATACTTGTTTTGAAGTAATTCCTGACATCTACTGTTTTTCTAGGTTGATCAACTCCAAAATGTTATCTCGGTGTCTGTGCCAAGTTTACAAATGTTTGTTTCTGCGCAACTTAAAGCTGAATTCAGCAAATGTGTCTACTTTGGCCATAAGGATCCATTCTTCAGCAAAAAAGCTTTCTGACTGTGAGTTAAAGGAACAAACCATCCAGAAATGTGAAACTGAAGAGTTGCCTCAAAGTACACAAAACAATGATTTTGGAAGATTGCACATACCAGTAATGCTGGAGGAGGTTATTAACTGTTTATCCCCCCAGCCAGGCCAGGTGAGTTAAATGATTAATTAACATTTGTGTTTCAGTAGCAGTCCAGCAGGAAAACTTGTGCAGTGTAGGGATAACGGTTGTTTAGAGAAATCAAGGTACGCTCTTTAAGAATCAGTTGCACCTTTTAAAGAGTCTAAATTGTTTTGCAATTCAAATTAAGACTGTATTCAAAATAATAAAAATCTGGTATTTGTATGCCTGAATCCTCAAATAAGTATTTGTTAAAACTGTAGTATTTGAATAATCTCTTGCTTTTGTCCTTGTTCTGGGTTTTTCTTGTGTATTTCTAGGGTTGTGTTAATTACTAATAGTAGCATGGAGTTCTCATGTATGGTTGTCATCAAATTGTGAAGAGGTCTCTTCCTATTTTATAAGAGGTACTAAGTATGTAGGTTTTAAAAATAATCATCATACCTTGTTCTGAGATAGTTATTTTCATGATTTCACTTGGTTCAAGGCAGTATATATCCTAAGATATGCTTACACTGCATAATGTGATGCATTGTAGAGATACCGTAGCTATAAAATATCTGGGTATGGTACCAGGAATGGTTTAGCATCAATAACAAGGAAGTATTGCAAGTCATCTTATTTAGCAATGCTACTGTGAGTAGATTCTGTTTGGTATCTGTCTTAGCTTAGGTCTCTACACTACAGTGTTGATGTAGCTACACTTTATCGGTGTATGCATGTAAGTATACTGTTACGTGCTCCCTTTACAAAAATGTTACACAGTGAAATAGTTTTCATCTGAGGGATCTTAAATACAATATTAAGTTGAAAAGATTTCTTATATTACTTAAATGATTTTCACATTTCAGATTCTTTCATCTGTGATTTTAGTCCTTTTTGAGTTAGCTTCATAGAATCTTAGTAATGTAGGCTTATCAGTGTGTAGTTTTACTAGCAAACTGAAATGATAGATAAGGAAATAGAAAGTTCAAAGTGTGTGTGTGTTTATTTTTGCTTGAAAACAACATTGTCCAACAGTGACAAAGGGATATAGCAAGATTGAGGTGGATTCAGGGATCAAAAAATTGTGGTCAAATCTTGTTGCATTGCCTTGGGAGAACTTAGTTTGGAAGACAATGTGTCACTTTTAAGTGTTTTGAAAACCAGAGCGAATCCAAGCAGTGTTGTTATTGTAACATACACATTAGTCTTGGTTGTGTCCTACTGTTGAAGATACTTAAACTAATGAAATACATAAGGAAGTCTGAGTACAGATTTCATTCAGATGTCAGAACTATGATGAAATTTCTACATGTTAAATGAACATATAAATTGTGACACTGAGTGTAAAATGTTTTCCAGTTGTGTGAGTTTCTGCTTAAATAAGAATGAAGAGGAGGCTGACGAAGTGACTGTTTATTAACCTGTGTTTCTTGATACAAAAAAAAAAAAAATTTGGCAACAAAACTTGCAAAAGAGACTGTGGTTATAAACTGTAGAGAGTAACTATTGTCCCTGGAGGATTTTTGCTTAACTTAAATACTTATAGATGTAACGTAGCTTATTATTGGGGTGGGACTTTTTCAGGTCTGTGTATACATAATTTTGCAGATTCCAAAGCTAGTGGTGAACCACTAACGACATATAAGAGAGCACAAGTATGTTACCTTGAACAGATGCATTTAATATGGCTATAACCTGTTTTGTGTAACTGAAAATGAAAACAGCAATTCAATTTTTCTTTGATTTAAAGGCAGAGTAGGTCATATATTTGCAGCACTTTCTGAAGCCAAGTTCTGAAAATAAGTAGTGTGCAAAAAGATGCAATGTGTCAACTGAGTTTTGCTAGAGTAAGCATCAGTGAAATTTTAAACGAAGATACTGTTTCTTACTGACATGAATGGTTGTACAATTTCTGTTAATGTGGATGTAGAACTGGGACTGTCATATCAATTTACATTTTTAAGGTTATAGTCATGACTGGGAAGTCCATGAACACTGTCTTTATTTTGTAGGCAAGGAAGGTAATGTTCTGATCTTGGATTTTGTTTTTCTGTTTTCTTCTCTCCTACGCACACAAAAATTTCCTTTACTGGGCTTTAACACAGTTATATTCTTTAGTATTTAAAAAAAAAAAAAAAACAAACAAACTGATTTGGGCCTTTATTTCTTGTTGTGTCCTAAGACAGTGCCATTATAAAGAAAATCCAATTAGAAAGACAACATTCTCCCTATGGTTTTGGTCGGTGAATGGTGTTTTCATTTTGCTTATAGGGGTTCCTAAGACAATAAATGTTACTTAAGAGTGAGTCACAGCTGAGATAAAGATGTTAGTACCCTCCTACTGAATATTCTTGTTGACTGTTTCCTTTGTGGAATCTGTTTGTCAGGGTTTTAAGCAATACTATTTCCACTTACCTTTGAATCTTCTTTTATTACCTTAGAGCTTGTTTCTACAAAGTCCCTGTAGTAGTCCTGGATTTGAAGCACATTGTACAAATTAGTTTTTACAGATCTCCCTCACTTTTCTTCAATGAAAAGTCTGTTGCAGTAAATCTACACACAAGTAATTTCCTCTTGAAGTTTACTGTATTGACTAAATTACTTTTGGGTCTTTTCAGTCCACTAGTGTTCTTTACGTGTAGTTGGTCAGTGTTTTTGCAGTTGTCTGGGCAGCTTGCGTTTTCTCTGTTCTCTTAAACTATAAAGGTACCAAAGAAGCAAGCGTATTTTCAGAATTAATGTCTTTGGACATCCAGAAGCATGTTTTCCCAATATTTACACTACCTTTTCCTATTTTTTCCTTTGCAAAAGTCACTTGCATTTTAACTAGAAATCTCTTCCACATCATACAGCTATGGTGATATGAAACGATTACATTAGCAGTGAGTTTTCTGGTATGAATGCCAGAGGATGACACTGAAGTTTTAATTATTCTTATGTGAGGGTCTTATAACAAAGGTGCTTAGAGGATGCAGAGCTCTAAGAAACTATTTTGATAGTGCTCCAGCACAAATTAGCACAATTTTATATATAGTTTTTATACTCTAACTATAACAAAAAGAAATATTTTACTCTACTTGGACTTTATGGAGAAGCCTGTAATCTGATGACATCTGTGGTTTTGCATTAAATATGATCTAGAATAGACTAAAATGGAGATGCAGTAAGTTCTAGGAGTATTATTTGGTTTATGATGGTTCTGGAAGTTTATTTTTTAATATCTGTGAATTAAATGGATGTGGTCAAACTTGATATGAGACAATATGAATAAGACTGTTTGCTTTTCTCCAGTGTTTAAGTGAATCATCTGAAGCAGAGTTAATATCAGATGATCTTTTTATACTGTTATATTAATTTGTGTCTAAAAAAATAATGAAGTTAATTTTCACCAAGCAGTTCTTGTCTGACATCGTCTTGAGTTAGCTGGGACTTCTTGCAGAGGTATTCTCTTTGATTCTTCATAAAATTATTCTGATTGTTATTACTACCTAGCTTTCATTGAAGGGGGTATCCTCTTTGTCTTGGAAATAATGTGTGGTAACTAGCTTCTAGAAAGAGAGGTATTTCTTAAAAAAATACAACTTTGCCATGAGCTTTCCTTTCAGTCTTTCAGGTATATGTTGTTCTCAGGATAGCTGCTATTCTCATGTATCCAAATGTCAAATGATTAAGAGCTGAGAGTATGAGCATGGCCTTTCCAAAATAACAAGAGGCAGCATAAGACATTGCTGACAATCAGACATTGGTCTTTTGTCACTGAAGTGCTGCTTGAGCTCTGCAATTAGCTTGAAGACAGTAGCCTTTCACCTCCTGGATTTCTGTTGCCACTGTTGGATGTTGTTGATCTAGAGCATGGTTATTTTCTTCTTGTTCCTCAGAGCTAGTTAGTCAAGTGATAGATGACACTCAGAGGAAGCTGAGGTAGACCGCTGGTGTGTAAAAGTGGAGTCTATTGTTATAAAATTGTTGCCTTAGTTTCTTTATATCCTTATCTATATGCCAGTATTCCTTTTCTACCTTATACTGAGTGTAAGCTCTTAAGGACAAAGATAACCTTTCTCTGTACAGCACCCTGCAGAGTGGACTTATGTTTTGTGAGAATAGTTTCCAAGTATCATAGTGTATAAATAGTTACGTGGCTATGCTGGTGACCAGTGTATTTATCATAGTACTTCCAAAGCCATCTGCAAATAATTTATAACTGGAACAACCCATTTACACTAAAGGCTCTCAAAAGTGAAGTTTTCCACAGGGTGTCCAAGATAAACAGGAATTAAGAAGGGCCCTGGAAAAATTTAATTCTGAGTTTTCTCAAGTTCTGTGAGGTATTTTGTAGGATGCAACCAAAATACCAAGTTTGGCCTGGAATATTAATTACATCATGAGAAATTCTGAAATACTTGTTTTGGAAATGCAAAACCCTTCATGGACATAGTAACTTTTTATCATTTATAGCCTATTTTCTAATGAAGTTGTTAAGTGAAAGAATGTGACATAAACCAAGTGGTTTATAAAGTGTTCTTTATTGTAGAAACAACTATATGTTTTTTTTTTTTTTTTTTTGTGAGAAGCATGATGAAAATATCTTTTCATATGCAAATTGTATGGTTACTTTTTCTGTGGTATCAGCACAATGGTTTATATGGTGATTGGTAAAGATAAGCCATTGTTGTAAAACAGGAAGAAAGATACTGGAACTTGAAAGAAGCAATAAATTAATATAGAAAAATTCTGAAAATATTCAGGGAATTACAGAACGCTTTTTTTCGTGATACTTTAGTGTTACTAGGGAGTATTGAGAGTTATTTCAGCTGATCATGTAGCTCCTGTATACCTACCCTTTCAGTCACTCCTGTCTTGCCTGTTTTCCTGGTGGTGTACATTATAAATTTACAGAAGAGACTAGCCAGGTTTCAGATCACAGCTGTGTAGGGAGATGTGTAATAAAATGTGTGTAGGTATGCAATGTGTATTAATTTTCTGTGGTGTGTAGTAGGAAATGTGTTAAATGGAATCTCATCAGATAGCACTGTTTAAAGTATTAT